TCCATTGTTTGCACAGTACAAGCTTTTGAGCTTTTTTAACTTAATGGGCACATTCTACTTCCCTGACCTTCATATTTTCTAATTCCTTCATTATGGAAGCCCTTGTAGCGGGGCTCTGCACAAGGTGGTCTTCAGCCTCCTGGTGGTCATTGCAGATGAAGGCCAGAAGTGTGCCTCAGGCTTGAACTTTTTTATCTCTGTTTCTGCACATGCTCTATGAGATTGTCTGCTCAAATACCCAGGGGTTAGCTTTTTGCAGTTGGCTTGTTGTGCTAGAGTTGCTGATTTCTAAGAAGTGCTTGATTCCCATACCCTGTTACAAAGTAACTACTTTCCTCAGAGCTACAGCTTTTCCCCCTAGTTCAAGCACTATCTCTTTGCCTCAGTATCCAAAAGAAGAAAGGGAGGAGGGGGAAAAGTGGGCAGGGCGATAGGGCAACATTATCTTGTTGCCCAGGGATCAATTCCTAGGTCAACTACGCAGTATTCTCGTCCATCTAGTAAGTGTGGGGGTACCACAGGGACAATGCCATTGCATGGATTTGGAGTGTTGGGGTGTTGGCACCAAAGTCTTGCTCTTGAGGGAAGTGCAGGGACACAGGGGCTGTCAGAGGACAATGAGACACGGGGGACATGAGGCCATAATGTGCCGAGCAAGATCCTGCCCAGGATGGCAGCAAAGGCATTTCCTCCCCATGGCCTTGGCACTGCAGGAAATCCCAAAAGGGGCTGAGGAGTCCCATGGGTAACCAAGGAGGGATGACTGACATCACTGTGGCTGCCAGCATTCCCCAATCACTGGCCATCCCATGGACACTGGGGACTCTGAGCATGTGTGGATATGCTGGTTTTACATTAATTAATACTCAGTGAGGAGGGAAGAAGCCAGCCAAAAAAATGATTTTTCTGAGAGAAGCTGCTAAGTGCTTCCTCTGTGCCTAGGAAAAAACCAATAGCTGTCTAGTTCTGAGAAGTGACAACCCATTAAATCATTTAGAAGCTGGCTCTGGCCCTGTGAATTCTACATTTTAAAAGACAGGCAAGCCCTCTCTTGTTTCCAGCCTTGAAAGGTAACTGGGCTCTGGCTGGGCCTGCCCCGCTCCACCGCAGCCTTCGAGGCCTGGAGGGGCCGGGCCAGGCCCCAACAGGAGCCAGGCGGGGGACGGGAGGCTGCAGGGCCCCGGCCAGAGCTAAGTCAATTCACAGCTACTAACATCTTACTAACACCAAGCCCTGGCCTCAGCCCTGGCCCTGTCTGCTCGTGCCGAGCCAGAGTCCGCTGGGCCCTGGGAGTAGCTGCTGGCCAAGCCATGCCTCTTCCAGCGCGACCCCCCACAAGCGGCTGCCATCAGTGGGAAGGGGAAGCCATAAGTCTGCAGCTGAAATGAAAAACAGCAGGGACCAAAGACCAGCCACACAGCCAGATCAGCCATGACCATTGTGATCAGGTCCCTGAGATCTTAGCACAACCACAACACAGCCTCAAATCCATCACCGTAACTATTTCAACCACTACCCAGCAAAAATCATCGTAACCATCTGCAGGCCAGGGTGAGATATTAACTCTTTCACTGCAAAGAGAAGACCTAGAGACCTTAATCCTCTCTCAAGAGAGAGAAAAATATAAAGACATGTAAAAGATAACACAAAACTCAATAAAAAAAGATTAAGTCCCAAATCAAAGGAGCATGAGGAGATGCCCTAATATGCCAATGCTACCTGCTGCAAGTACTTCCACCAAGGCCCCCTTCTAGAAATGTCCATGCAGCACGTCAGCATCAGATCTAGGTTTGGTTGCATCAGTGGGGCAATTCAAGCCTTACCCCAACCAAACAATCTCCATTCTCAGGCAGCATTTTGCTTTGGGTTATCGTTCCAGCTATTTTGGCTGTGTAGATGGCCTTAATAACAGGAAACAGTCATCTCAGAACTGGTGTTATTTTTTCCAGCAATGAAGGAAAGAAACTCAAACCAAACAAAGTTTCTAAAATAGTGGTTTTGAGAGAAGAAGTGCACCCCCATTCTTCTCACTTCTTGCCTGCAACCTGGAGAGGATGGTTTAAAGGCACAGAGTCCCTGCTGCTTCTTGTGCCGTGCTGCTGAAACACTTAGTGACCATATTTGTTCATAAGCCAAGCCACTTTCTCCATATCACCAAGCTGGAGCCTGGTGATGGGGAGAGCCTGCCAAAACCTCTGTTTTGTTTCCTGCCACTTTCTGGGATGGGTCCAGTGTTTATGCATTGACTTGAGTATCCAACGAGCAGAGGCTTAGCAAAGGGATGACACTTCTCTTTCTTCTGATTTCAGCAGGAATGTTCTCCTATTTCCACATAACGGAACCTGAAATTTTCAGACTGCAGAGAGACAAAGCTGCAGGCGGCTCCTGTGTGCCCAAACAGGCATTTTTATCTCATACATCTGGGGAGGTATTGACACCATTGCTGAGTGCCCTGCACCCTGACAATAAGGACACAGTAAGATAAGATAAGTAAGATAAGATCTTACTGCATTTTATGCAGCTCTTTGCACACAATCAGTTGACAAGAGACAATTAGAGACTCTTGAAGGTGTTTGTGGAGAGCAAGGGCTTGACTATTGACCCTGGCTATTGGTGTGTTGCTCTTGGTGTAAACAAGAGAGTTGGAGAGTCACTCGGGCACATGAAAGAGAGGAGGTGTATAAGTGTCAGCCGTGTATCACATGGGTTATTACCTACTCTAGAGCACGAGCGTTGACTGACTTTGGTGGTCCATCATTAGATCAGTTGCCTGGAGGGAATGCTCCAAGGGGTGCAGTCAGAGTACTGCATGAACAACAACAGTTTCTAAACTCATTCAAACAGATTGAAGATTTTGGACAGAGAGTATTAGCAGACATTAGCTTTGAGCTTCTTAAACGCTTCGCATTATTACGTATTAGGCAAGGCAATAAGGTAGTGAACACCAAGTGTGGTCTGGGTGTTGGAGTTGCCCAAAGTTGGCAAGTTTGTAGTCATGAACGGGACATGGGAGAAAGACGATGGTGATGTGCACGCCCATGGCGATGTTAATGTTGATTTTTGGGGGTTTTTCATTGTATGGTGAGGGGTGTTTCTGGACAAAGCACAAAGAAATGTTTGGGTAGCCTGGGCTAATGTGTCTGGTATGCAGGATTTTTGTCTCAATTTACAGAAGGCCAATAACCCTTTTTGAACTTGCTTAATTGGCATTCCCCTTCAGGAGAACAAAACAGATTTTTCTGGTTGGTGGGACCCAAAAATTGTAAATTTAAGAAGCAGCAAAAGTGATGACTGTCTCAGTCCAAAGGGACAGTATACTTGGCTGTCTGTGTGCAGTGCAGCCTGGCAGAAAAGAGTAACTGCAAATTTGAACTGATCATATCCTATTCCATTTCAAGAACTGGATTTGTTAGCCAGTGTTTTCCCAACCTTGGATGTCAATGTTACTGTTCTGCCTAGTTGCAACAGTATGGCCCCACCATGGCAAGCAGTTAATGGTACAGGAGTAGTTTGGTTTGGAGATCCTTGGATTAGTTGGTTACAAGAGCAAGGAGGAAAAACGTTGTTTGAAGGTTATCCAAATGTTACAGGACAATCTCCATGGAACAGATTAAAAACAGGGGGTCTGACAGGAAACACTTCAGGAGAATGGGAACTCCCACCGGGATTCTTTTTGATTTGTGGGAATCGAGCATGGCCTGGAATTCCAAGATGGCCTGTTGGTGGACCATGCTCTCCTGGTCCACTAACATTATTTGCTCCCCACATGAGGAATTTATTGAATGTCAGTCAAAGTCATCATCAAAGATCACATCGATCCTTTTGGAATTTTGACTAGAAAAGTTATAGTGCCTTCACCATCATTGGCGACTGTCATTGCAACATCGTTCCTTTTACTAGAGGGAATGGCTGCCAAAAATGCAGTCTGCAAACTGGCACAGCAGTGCTCCAGTGATGGAGCCACTCGCTGCTGCAGTTTGCACTGTTTACGGCTTTCTTTATTCCGGCTATTACCTGACAAACCTGGCATGTAAGTAGAGGTTTTCCCTGGGTGTAACCTAAGCTGGATTTTGTAGGTCTTCCTGCTTTTTCTTAGTCACTGGGTTGATTTTGAAACAGAAGGACCATTAGGATGCCACTGCTTTGCTAAAGCTCCTGTCAACAAGTTTAGCAAAAAACGGGATGCCTGTAGCCAGGGGTCTGCAGGCAGCATTTGCAAGGGTTCCATTCCCTGCACAGGAGAGTCTGTGGCAGCAGAGTCTGTCCTTTCCTCAGTTTGCTGGCTCAAGCAGGATAGCTTTGAAAATGCAGAGACCGTCTCAGAAGGCCTACTTAAGACTTTGTGGTTCTCCCCATAATTGAGGGAAAGCTTCTTTTGTTCTCAGTTTTGTCATGAAAAGATTTGACTAAGTTCACCCTTTTCTGAGTGCTAGAATAGCAATACCCTTTGCAATGAAGTGCAAACTCCAAAGCAGGCAATGAAGTGCAAACTCCAAAGCAGTGTGTGTGTGCTCCTGAACGCTGGAGCTGCTGTTGCTGTGCTGCACAATAGAACTGCCACAGCTCAGGGGGATTTGGGGGAAGATTTTCTGGGCCAATGTTTTCAGCAAGTTAATGAGAATTACTGCATGCAACTTATCTTTTAAAAAAGTGCCTGAAAGGGAAAGGAGCAAAAGCTACTTTATCTGTCGGATAGGACACGAGCATTGAGTGTGAAAGAAAACTCTGCATTTCCTTGATCAACTTTGTGTTCACTTACTGGCAAAAGAGACCAAAGTGTAGGCACAAGCAAGAATATTGCCCAGTTCCTTGTTGGATGTGTGAAAGAATTGTGTCCCCTGAGGGATGCTGTCAGAGGAAAATACCCTCTGTTTGGGTTCACTTATTCTATGGGATTCAGCAGCCCAGGCAGTTTTCTCACCCCATTGCGTTCATTTTCCCTTGCTCACTGCAGGTCACCTGAGGCGTTTGTTCAGAGGTGCCGATCCTGAGGTGAGTGAGAAAGGAACCTTTGATATTCCTGCTGTTGGAGAATTGTGGAGCAAGCTGGGAGCTTGGCCTGTGGCAGTAGAGTGTAGGTGGCCAGCTGAGTAGGCTGAAAGGAAATCCATTTCCATGTCTGCAGCAGTGATAGCAAAGGCATTGCTGCCTATTTCCTCATCTTCCACTTCAGTGCTTTAAAAGAACCAGAAGACCAGTTTTGCAGAGAGAACACTGCTTCTTGATAGTAGCCAGGGTGGGAGATCTAATTCAGACAATTTGCAGTCCAGTTGAATTAAGCCATTTTCATTTAGTTGGAGTGACTTAGAATCCCATTGCTATCAAAGTGGATGATTTGTCCTTAGTCGAGCTGGTTGTAGAAATAGAGCAGAATAGAAGTAAGGTTATAAATGATAGGTAGCTGCCTGTCCCTAACACTACTATCTGTGCACAGAGCCCAGAACCAACAGCAGACTCTTCTCTGGCTCCCTCTGCTCCTGGAGAAGAGGCCAAAGAGGAGCAAAATGACCACGAGCCTCCAGCACTGGTCGCACCCCAGTCTGAACATTCAGAGACTGTAAGTGCCACTTCTGGCTGGTGTTGTCTTTAGTGCAAGGCAGAGCTGCAAATTCCTGAGCAGCCAGCACTTGCTGTTGGTAGCTGAGGCAGCTGAGTGCTGGAGTCGTGCCAGCACCTAGCAAGTCACCCCAGGCAATGGCAGCTGAAAAATGACTTTTGATCTGTCATGTTTAGGCCCCCAATTGCTGGGATTCTGAGAGGGGCCAGCCTGAAGCATGAAGGCTCCCTGTGCCCAGAGGAGGGAGCATTTCAAAGACACTCTGCTCAGCCATGTCACATTCTGGAGAGGACACTATGGTCTGGAGAGTCCTGTGCCCTACAGACTGGCCAAGAAGCTGCAGGCACAAAAGATGTGGATCTGACCACACAAGCGCTTTGGGGTGGTTTGTCCCCATGGCCTTCTTGGGTGTCCTTACCTGGGAGTATTTCAGAGACACACTGGGGATGTGGAATTTCTGACTGAAATCAGGGATTTTGGTGCCTTTGTTGCCAGGTTGTTGTTTTGCCTCTTCAGGCAGAGCAGTCAGTAGCAGAGCTGACAGGTGCTCTGAGCCCACGTCTCTTCTGGCTTTTGATAAGCTGCAAAGAGATGATTTTGTGGTCCATGAATCCATGTGGGGCCACTCTTCTCTTGTGTGGCAAAAGACACAAACTGCACAGTTCTGAATCCTTCTTCTGAGGCAAAAACCAGAGACTCCATATGTCTTTT